TGCAGAAGAGGGCCATAAGAGCAATTTATGATTTAAAGCCTAAAGAGTCGCTGCGACAAAAATTTAAGGAAATTAATATATTAACTTTGGCCTCTCAATACATTTATGAAAATTTAATGTACGTACACAAAAATAAAAGTAGTTTTATAAAAATAAGTGATATTCATTCTGTAAATACTAGGAACAGACACAAGCTAGTAGTACCAGTTACTCGACTCCATCGAGTCAGTAATTCATTCTTGGGGCGATGTATACGCTTTTACAACAAAATTCCAGAAAATATACAAAGTTTGGCCTGTTCAAAGTTCAAAAACTTTATTAAACTAAGTTTGTATAAAAAGGGTTATTATAATATTAAGGAATTTATGGATGATAATAACCCCTGGAAATGAGGTGATCGCTACCAAGCTATTTCTAATTTGTTGTGTTGTTAATTTGTGTAACATCATGATTGTAAGCTGTTATTTAAAAAAAAAAAGTCCCGCTGGGTTTCTTGCTGGTTCTTCCCAGGACAGAGGTTTTTTCCGAACCAGTGGTAATCAAACAAAAGAATGACTTTCAATAAGTATTATTTATAATCTATATTGAATAAAAAAGTTTCTGTTTCTGTTTCTGTTTCTGTTTCTTCTAATTCGATGAAGCTGGCTGCACGCACGAAAGAACATGACTCATGCGGCATTACCTCGCTCTGAGGCGTTCCATTTAAGGCTTGAAGTGCAAGCAAGAGCGCGGAACGAGCGACAAAGAGGCACAATCGACCTCCGCGTTCGGCAGCGTTCGACATCTGTCTCTCTCCTACTTGAGTGAGCGATTCGTCCACATGGACAGCTGCTATACAATAATACATTTACATGTTTTCGCCAAGTATGAAGTGCAGTGAAAAGTGAATGTATTGTATTTATGCGTACAAATAAATGTAACTTCTTAATCAATTCAATTGTGATTTCCATTTACCTCCTTCTCTATATCCATACAAAATATCTATCAAACAAATAAAATTAAAATTTTCTTATGAAAAATGCAACCATTCCATCAGTATTTTCTTATGACGTTGTCACGTTCAACTATCGTCAGTAAACCGACTTTACAGACAACCGATTTTTTTATTAGAAAAATATTTGCTGCAACGGCATTGACCGAACTTTTCTCGAGTCGATAATTTCAGGCAGTACACACTTTACGTAAAAAGCTTGTAACTTGGGTAACATATTGAAATGTAAAATTGGTCTTCTTTGTAAATTTTTAGTACTTTTACTGCATAATCTGGGCCAGTATATACATATTATGGCAAGTATTCAGACATTTTTATTTGCTAAATGAAGCTGGCGTTGGATTTGGTAAAACCAGTCATGATTTTGATTTAATGTTACACATGAATCACTGAATTTATAACCTTTAACTTTTTTTTAGGTCGAAAGGTCGTGTCAAAATCTATTCCGAAAGCTGAAATAGGACATTTAACTTCAATAAGACCGCCACTGTATAAACCATTAGGTGAAGCCCTCAAACAACAATGATCTAGGTCAATGAATAGACCACATTTTTCTATAATAATATTTTCTTGTTTGCTCAATTGTGTCAATGCTACAGACTCGTTGTCCCTAGCATGTTTGATGGAAGAGACGTGATTCAAATTATAAATATGTAGGAAGTATAATGGGTATAGTACAGAGACTAATTTTGTAGTTAGGAATAATAATTAATTCGTTTACACGAATTAACTATCCAACGAGTCGAGGATAAACTAGTAACGGAATACGACAAACGCACCGTTCCACGTCAGAGCCAAGACTGTCTTAACGGCGGCCGCTCAGTCAGTTTTATACAAGCAGGACGGGCGGCAACGCAGGTGCAATGCCGCAGGTGTGCGGTACACGTGTCGTTTACAAGAATTCTGTCTAGCTAGATCGACGCCACCGCATCTACAACGGTGCAGGTGCCGTCAAATATATAAAATAGTTTTCAACCGATCGATCAATAACTGCGGTCGTAGTTGGCGATGCTCTAGCATGCAGGCAATCGACGCACACACGATAGCAATCGAAACGATGCAGTGCGCGAAATTAACTGACGCAGGTCCAACCTCGACAAGCCCTCGCGCGATAGTGATCGCAGATGAATACAGTGTTGCCAACAACTTGGAACCTGATGTCGCCATTTTTCACAGATTTAGTAGCCTAATATAGCCTAATTTGAGCTGAGGTAGCCGAAAGATCAAAACTTCGCTATGAATAAATAAAAAACGTGATTTTTAACAATTGGTTTATTCATAAGATGTACATAGAGGATCAAATTTAAACAAATCGGAAATCATCATTTGCTGCCAGCAGCAACAAAGCATCAGCAAGACTTTCACTGTCAAAATTTTCTGTAGCCTCTGCTGTGCTGGTCCTGGCGCAACCTTCGCTGGAACTGGGAACATACATTTTCCTCCCAGCATGTAAACTGATCATATGATTGCTTGGTTGAAAATTGTTGCAGGAAATATTTTGGACATCCATATGTGTACGGATTCTAAGAATTGCAATCAGCGTGGGTAGTTACATTCTGTTCCTTAATTTTGTCTTTATCGTGCCCATCACACTAAAAATTCTTTCTACGATAGCATTACTTAAAGTTAATGAGGGACATCGCAATGAAAACTTGGCAAACTCTTTAAACATTGGATTCCCTCTAGCACTCTGTATTTTCAATACCTGTACCCAAAAATTTACGATATCATTGGGAGAAGCTGTACCGATTATTTCGATGCGCAACGTACTTAAAGAACAAAGTGGTTGATTATAGTTTCCCGGTCAATATTAGGTTTCCCTAATTGCCAGGGAAAATCATTAACGTTGGGTCTGCTGGTTGAGAGGCACACATGGTTTGGTGATAAATGTAAAATTTTTTCCACCACTAATACATTAAGTGTTAGCCTGTCAACTAATTCCTTCACTAAGCGCACGAGAACATGCACGCACAGGACTCTTGGAGAAATTTCGCAAATAACAGACAAATGAAAGATATAACCGGTATTAATACTTTTAATAATAAATGTTATTAACAGCGAAGCGAATACTTATAATTTCATTGCATTCTAAATTTGGTTACTTAATACGAGCAACAGACTAAGTTAAAAGCCCTACTCCCTAACGCTTTGTCCATGTATTTGGATTTACCCGTCTCTCTCACACACTTCTGCAGATGAGTGAGAGTGACAGTGAGCCTTAGTTTTGGAGTATTCCTCGAAATTAACAGTAATGCCAGTTTTTTTATTTTGATTTGTATGTTATGCGCAGGAGGTATTATTTTGCGCTAATATTAACTTCTGTTGTGATTCAGTCTAATTAACGGTCGATCGTTCGTTTCTCTACTAGCCTATTTGGCGACCAGTCGCCTTTCAGAATTTTTCGTAGCCGATTTCCATCCCGAGTAGCCTAATTGGCGAAAAATCGCCTACGTTGGCAACGCTGGATGGATAGCGCAGTCAAATATATGGTACTTTTATTTAATTAATTAGAATATAATAGTAACGATTTAAAAAGTAAAAATAATAGTATAGTTTATTAGATTATTTTGGTATAAATTTTACGTCTAAATGATGTAGAACTTCGGAAATATTGAGGCTTGTATCGAAGCTTTTTCGGTCGTTTTTTGAATTATGTCGATTTTTTTCCTAGCGTGAAAGGCATATAACGAAAATGTATTCTATAATTATTAAAGTGTAGGATATTTGGGAGAGAAAAATTGTTTTGATGGTCGATATTCAATAGAATCTACAAATTAGAGTTCCCAAATCATGTCTTCGAGAGTTTTTGCCTAAACATGCATCGGGAGAATGATTATTACTGAATAAATAAATAAGTTATCTAAAATTCGCTTTGAGCTTATTTGAGAAGAGAAAACGAGCTATTTTTACAAAGTAATTGTTATTTCAAGCAACGAACGATAAACGTACAATTTCAACGAGGAAACCTTCTAATTTCGCGTTTTTTTTTTGTAATACGCCTCTTAATATATGTAACTCTTTTATTGACACGGGATCTACATCTATTGTTCGTTTCATGAGCGAGGTGGGACAAGCGCCTTACTGTTTTTAGGCAAATATGAAATAAAGTTACCTTATCTAAAAGGCACATATGGCAATTCATAATGGTGTGTTAGTCTCTACTTTAATGTATGGTAGTGAAAGTTGGGTGTGGCAGAAGAAGCATGAGAGTAGAATAAAGGCTGTAGAAATGCGGTCATTACCTAGTATGCTAGGGCTGAATCTGAATGACAGGGTGAGAAATAGTGTGATAAGAGAAATGTGTGGTTGCAAGATGACGTTGTGACTAGGATTAAAAAAGGAATGCTTCGGTGGTTTGGTCACGTAGAAAGAATGAACGAGGAAAGAGTGACAAAGCAAATTTATGTTTCAGAAGTGAACGGCAAAGTCGGGAAGGGACGCCCTAGACGAAGATTTATCGACCAAATCGGCGATACATTGAAAATGGGCCAGACTAGAAGTACCCTTAACTGACGAGCGTGTATGCGTAGATATATGGATGTCAAGGAGGCGAGAGAAGTGTGTCAGGATCGCGCCAAATGGAAGTCCGTAGTCTCTGCCTACCCCTCTGGGTGACAGGCGTGAGTGTTTGTATTGTATTGTATTGTATTGGAAAATAATAAAAAAATCTTTCTCTTTTTGTTATGTAAGAATCTATATTAAATAAAAAACGTTCTATTCTATTATAATATATTTAAAAGTTCACTAGTAACGTTTTTAACATTAGTATCCTGTTAAGGACTTGACCGAGTACATTATATTCTACAACGATTCTAATTAAACTTAAAATGCTTGTGCTAGAAGTGGTTCATTATATTAGTCATAATATTAGTCGACTGGTGGATTCGAACCTACGACTTTTTAGTTTTCAAGTAATCGTATCCTTAACCATTAGGCTACTGTCGCTTATTATTGAATGTTATTAATGTTCATACATTTTAAATGTACTCCTTGATTAAACTTGTAAAAGTTAATGAGAGAGTGTGTTCATGGGGTTGTCGCTCCATGCGAAGTCGTCGCTTGAAAAGGCGTAGATCATCCAATAAAAGAGATTGAGCAGCGCAAACGAAGCTGGAAAAAGGATGCGGGCAGCTTTATCGATGTGCGACACGCTGTTTATGTGGCCACGTTTACCTAATAAAAATTGAAATAGTACAATTAAATTAGTGAAGGAAATAACAAATACGAGTAAGGCTAAGATACAAGATTAAGGGCTAAATTTTCAATCGTTAGATAAAAGTTATTCGTAGTATACGATACAACATAAATTAAAATTACCTACAGTTGTTTAACTAAATAAGCAGTGTAGTGGCAATGTAAAAAGTAAGAAATATTCACTACCCCATATCGTCCCATGGGTGTCGATGTCGTAAGAGGCGGAGGGAATGGCAAGTGGCAACAGAATCTTTCTGATAACGGCTCAAAATAATACAAGGGCGACACTGAAAGTTTTTAGAACTGGCCACTTGTAAACGATATAATAAAAAAAATAAGTTAAAATTTTGAAAATGGAACTCTTTACCAATATTATTGTGTATGTATTTTACTTCGATCCACAATTTGATCGAAGGTATTTTATTAATTTGTCATTTGTTTATGATTTGGCGGCAAATTGAAAATTGTGTGTCACGTCAGCATGAATTTAACGCGAGAAAATTTTCGTACAATGATTTTTTATGACATGATGTCATTTAAGTCAACAAGAAAGTTGTGATAGACTTCGATTGGCCTTTCACGATGAAGCCTCATCTCGTGCCACTGTTTACAACTGGTTTAATGAGTTTAAACGTGGTCGCACTAATCTTACCGATGATCTCTGTGAGGGACGGCCTTCTACGGCGACGACTAAAGATAACATCAGTGTTGTGCGACGACTGACAAAAGAGTGACTTATCAGCAGATTCGGACAAGCTACTGTTACTACAGTTACTGCTGAGTGGTACACTAACAATTGTTTGCCACTTGTCTTGGAAAAAGTTCGGAAGAAACGACCTCGTAGTAGGATCTTCTAAGATTTTCTAAAAACTTTCAGTGTCACCCTCATAAAAATTGCGGTTGACAACAGACACCCCGCTCGCCAGGCGTGCAGCTATGGCAAAATACCCCCATGAGGCAATCTATAGGAGAGGTCTATGTTCAGCTGTGGACTTTTATAGGTTGTACTGGATGGAAATAAAATAGTTCAATTATTTCAATTTTATATTCAGTCAGGTTATAATTTATTTGACGGATAACTTTAATCTGACGATTGAAATAAGTCCTAAGATGAGAAAGAAAAAACGTGTGTCTTCAAGCAAAGACACTATGACTGCGATTTACCATTTGCGAATACATACACTTTCCACTAGGTGAGGTTGTAGTCAAGCCGCAAAAGAGAAAGCCGATCTGTTGTGCTCTCTTTTTGCGTCTAACTCGACTCTAGATGACGGGGGGAACACACCGCCGACCATCCCGCGATGTGAGTGCTCCATGCCGGATGTGCGATTTACACAGCGCTCGGTTCGCAAAGCACTCTTCTCCCTGGACGTCAGCAAGTCGAGTGGGCCCGATGGAGTCCCTCCCATTGTGCTGAAGACGTGTGCTCCGGAGTTGGCACCGGTTTTAACGCGTTTTTTCCGGTACTCCTACTCTCAAGGCGTAGTCCCGAATTCATGGAAGACAGCTTTGGTCCACCCGATCCCTAAAAAAGGCGACCGCTCAGACCCGTCCAACTACAGGCCTATCGCTATCACCTCCTTGTTCTCCAAAATAATGGAATCCATTATAAACTGCCAGCTCATGAGGTACCTTGAAGATCACCAGCTGATCAGTGACCGTCAGTACGGTTTTCGTCGGGGTCGATCAGCGGGTGATCTTCTAGTTTACTTAACTCATAGATGGGCGGAGGCAGTAGAGTCCAAGGGGGAGGCATTGGCCGTTAGTTTGGACATAGCGAAGGCCTTCGATCGGGTCTGACACAAGGCGCTTCTTTCGAAGCTTCCTTCCTATGGGCTTCCCGAGAAATTGTGCAAATGGATCACCAGTTTCCTTGCCGATCGGAGCATCAAGGTCGTAGTAGACGGTGCATGCTCTGATTACAAGCCTATCAACGCTGGTGTTCCACAAGGCTGCGTGCTATCACCAACGCTGTTTCTCCTGCATATCAATGATATGTTGCTAACTGGTAGCATTCATTGCTATGCAGACGACAGCACTGGGGATGCCTTATATACCGGCCGTGCCAATATTTCTCGGGAAAACGTCGCCGAGTACCGGGACAAACTTGTGTCTGAAGTCGAGTCTTTGCTTAACAAAGTCTCGGATTGGGGCCGACTAAATCTAGTCCAGTTCAATCCCCAGAAGACACAAGTTTGCGCGTTTACCGCTAAAAAGAACCCCTTTGTCGTATCTCCTCAGTTTCAAGGCACTCCCCTTGCTGCCTCAGCCAGTATCGGAATCCTTGGCGTCGACATATCGAATAGCGTGCAGTTTCGTGGTCACTTGGAAGGGAAGGCCAAATTGGCCTCTAAAAAGCTTGGCGTGCTCAGCAGAGCGAGAGAGTATTTCATGCCGGTACATCGCTTGCAACTTTACAAAGCGCAAGTTCGGCCCCACATGGAATACTGTTCTCATCTCTGGGCCGGGGCACCCCAGTGCCAGCTCCTTCCACTTGACCGCATCCAGCGCAGAGCGATTCGAATCGTCGACGACCGAGTTCTTTCCGATCAGGTCGATACACTGGCACTGCGTAGAGATGTTGCATCTCTTTGCGTATTTTATCGCATCTATCACGGGGAGTGCTCTGAGGAATTGTTCGGACTAATTCCAGCCGCTCAATTTCACCATCGCACGTCGCGACAAAACTCGCGTTACCATCCGTACCATCTGCATGATTGGCGGTCCACCACTGTGCGATTTAGAAGAAGTTTTCTCCCTCGCACAACTTCTTTGTGGAATCAATTACCACTAGCGAATTTTCCGAACCGATACGACTTAGGAACCTTCAAGAAAAGAGCTTACACCTTTCTAAAAGGCCGGCAACGCATCTGCAATTCCCCTGGTGTTGCGGTTGTTCATGGGCGGCGGTAGTCACTTACCATCAGGTGAGCCGCAAGCTCGTTTGCCCCCTATTCTATATAAAAAAAAAAGTACTGATAAAAATAATACGATGTTTTTAGTATGTAAAAAAATGATTTGGGTAATGACTTCATATTTTGGAGTAAATACTGAGAGTCGTGGCAGTACTAAGTGATCGTCACAAATGTCACAGTACCTACGTAGACTCGGGTTCGATTTCGGCCGACACTTACGATAAAATATTAAATTTTAATTAATTTCGTATGGATTTATCACCTGCTCTGCGGTGAAGGAAAACATCTTTAATTTAATACATAATGTGAAAGTAAGCAAAGTAGGTTGGTACACGATTTATTTCCAACACCGAAATGAATATAGGATTTATTGTTAAGAACAGTTCGTCGTTTCTCGTAGCAATTTTTTTGTGTTATTGTCCACGAACTGTTTTTAATATTTAGTTCTAGACGATTGCAATAACTTGTAATAACTTGCCTGCTTCTATTTGCCGCTGACGTCGGTAGCGGTCATCGCCTGCTAGACAGTAAAGCAGCTGTCTCCAACGAGGTACCCTTCTTTCAGTTTGCGTAGTGCGTTCCATAGTAAGGCGGACGGAAGTTTGTTCCGGCGGAGGAGGTAAATCTTCGCCTCCGTTGGTGCAGTTGCCTTGTGTAGGTAAAAAGTTCTGCAAAAAATTAAGGAAATGATTCATCATTACGTTTAAATAATACGTTAATGGAGTGTATTCATTTGCAGGGAGTATTGAAAGTTAAGGAATTTATTAGGAAGCAAATTATGTTATTTGTCGTTAAGAAAACTATTTCATAGCAGTCGGTACAATTTCTCTAAAGGTATGCCACCTTTTTTTGAACAAATATAGTATTTTCCCAAAAAAGATGCGAAAATATAATACTTTCGGGAAATTCAGGAAAAAAAAATACAATTTTTAATCTTTATGTATTTTTCCATATTTATTACTTTTAAAATAATTATAGGAATCTGAGTAATTTAGATTCATTTTAAAATAAATTATCAATTCATTTTTCATTAAATTATTACTTTCGGCTCTTTTTCTTTCTTCTTTCCATTTTACATTCATGTCGGAATTTTTTTTTCCATAAAACTTACTTGTTTCAGTCTTCCAGTCACAGTTAACATAAAAAAGCGCGAAAGTTGAATTAGGGGTAAAAATATAGGCGTAGCTTTTAAAAAGTGCTTTAATTTTGAATAAAAATATTTGGCTTTGACTATGAACATTGTAGCGAAAATGCAGTTATTAATATTAAACATAGAAAACCGGAAAGCCATTAATATTAAACATAGAGAACCGGAAAGCCATTAATATTAAACATAGAGAACCGGAAAGCTTTTTTTTTATAGGATAAGGGTGACAAACGAGCACACAGTCCACCTGATGGTAAGTGGTTGCTGCGGCCCATAGACATCTACATCTATCCTCTATTACAAATCAAAATGTAGATGCGTTGTCACCCGTGAGGACTAAGATGGAATGCCTCATTTCCAGTAAAAAGGGCCTCCGGCCACCTGCATTCACCAAGCGAAACGCAGAGGTAAACCGCTACTTCACGCTGGTTTTCTGTGAGGTCGTGGTACCACCCCGGTTCGAGCCGGCCCATCCGTGCGACAGCAAAAGCTGCCGCGTGGCTCTACCACTGTTTGCAGGTATACTCAAGTTTTACTAGAAACGAGGCATTCCACCTTATTCCTCACGGGTGACAACACATCTGCATTTTGATTCGTAATCAAGGATAGATGTAGAATGTCTATGGGCCACAGCAACCACTTACCATCAGGTGGACTGTGTGCTCGTTTGTCACCCCATCCTATAAAAAAACACATAATAAAGTAGGTAGGTACCTAAACGTTGATAATATTAGTGGATTTCAACAGATTTTATTACTTCCTTCGCATTGTTGGCCTTCGAACTTCCGATTATTCGGAACATGTCGGCGTTGTTGAAAATCGGCCAAAAATCAATGGGGAAAGAATCTTCTGCCAGTTATGGCGAGACCTATATTTATCAGTAAATGTTACCTACTGATGATGAAGATCAAAAAAATACAAGTTGCATAGTAAAAATTAATTCAAAAGTCATCATACAGTCATGTTTATGCAAGCACACTTTTTCTTAACTTAATGTATTTGTTTTAAATTCACAGGAGTGTTATTAACTAGTTCTTTTAGTAGACTTAACTCTTACGTTTTAAGGTTTACGCACCAAGTTTGTAGCAGATCTGGATGAACTTCGCCGGCGCACCGCCAGCTGTCTGGCAGCGAAGGCGTCGCCTCCTACTTCTTCAATAAGTTCCTCCCACTCCGAATCGTCAATTACAATTTCTCCTGAGCCAACCTGAAAACGCATTAAGTAATAGATTTTATGAAAATAAGTTATTTGCGATAGAAACGTACTATTATAGTTCAATGGGAGATTGTATTTTGATGGAAGATTTTTCATGTTGTAGAGCCAACCGTGTAATGGCTGTGTAAGAATATCCACTACCCAATATTGTCCCGTGGGTGTCGTAAGAGGCGACAGAGGGAAACAAACTGGGAGATGGGCAGCAGCATTTTCCTAATAATAATTAGAAAAAATCTATGGCAAAATCCCCCTATGAGGAAATCTATAGGGACACCTATGTTCAGTAGTGGACTTTTATAGGCTGTAATGGATGGATGGAGAGTCATGCCGCAGCAATATTATGTTTGTAGCACGCATGGGTCAGCTCGACCGGGAAGGGCCACGCTCTCATATAATAGTAACGTCAAATAGCAACTTAATGCTGCTGAGTTTCGTATGGTGAATGTAGAGAACCGGAGACCCTTTTTGCTGGAAACGAGGTATTCCACTCTGACTGTGTGTTCCTTTGTCAGTTATTTTATAAAAAAGAGATTCATTATATAGGGATTTTTCGATCGACACTTGAATGATGAGGGAAAGAGATAAATATTTTTTCTATGATTTTCATATCATTTCTCCTCATAGGGATGGATCCCTTCAAATCCATTGCTGAACATAAGGCTTTTCCTAAAATGTGTAAATAAATAGCCCTAGATGGCAGCTGGATGATTTGGCTTACCGGGCAGACAGCTTGGCAAGGATAAAACCGTATTTAAAAATTTGGGTGCAGTGTTTTTGTAAAGTTGGATCAGTCATCGTCAATGCCAGTGGTACCACGGCACGTCAGGTTGGCATTTGAAGAAAATACTGCATTACACCCTTTGTAATTTTTTATAAGCTGTATAATTTTGATACAAATACAAACATCTAAACCCGGAGGAATTATTTGTATGTCATACAAATAGTTATTCCGGTAGATTGGAAATAGCGGCCTGCAGTGTCGAAACCATATGCCACTCCGCAGCCGAGTTCTCAAATAATATATAAATATATTTGCTCATTTACCTTGGTAAAGTAATGTACTCCAGCAAATTCTAACAACGTAGCGATACAATAGAAGAAACTCATGAGTAAAAACCAGTCCAGAGCAGTAGCGTAACGCACTTTCGGGAGATCGGTCCGCGAATCCAAACTGATTGTTGACAAAGTTAAAACTGTTGTTATTCCAAGACCTACCCGATCTGAGGTAGCCTGGAAGAAAAACAAAGTGTCGATAGTTCATTTGACAAGATTATGTGAAACACTTTTACTTTTGGCAGATATAATACGGCTGTAGCGTGTGTTAAAGGAAAAAAAAATCGAGCTCTAAGTTTAGTATTTATATTTACGTTTGCAGCACGAATTGATCAGTTCGACCGGCGAAGTACCACGTACGCACAAAATACCAACGTAAAATAACAGCATAAAGGTACCATTCCGTAGCCGACCGCAGACAGCAGCAGCAGGCGACGTGTCGTCGCGACATGTCGTCGCGTCATGTCGCTGCAGTCATGATTCCGAACCCGACTGCAGGTGGCAGCAGCCCGTGTTCCAATCTGTTCCGAATGTTCTGTGGGTACTCTTTATCTCTCGGTAACTATTTACCGCTTTTATTTAACTCCTTTCCTATATTTTTTCAAATATTATCTTTTGTCACACTGTTTAAATAATTATTGTGAGATGCATCGTACAGTGCGGGTTATTGGGCCACCTGGTTTATCAGTTTCTCTACCATGGAATCGGTGAAACTCATTTTTTGAGAAAAATTCAATGAGTCGCTCGGGCGTTGGCGCCACTACTGATCTGCATCTGACATGTCCGCCGCTCCGGCAAACGACGTGTAGCTACGGAAGGTATTTATTTATTTATTTTATTTATTTATTTATTTGGTCTACCAACGACTGTTACATTACAGAAACTTAAATTAGTTACATTGTAATAAACTATTATGAGCTAAATGCACAATCAGTTACAGGTAAACACAGCGCGCTATTTTAACATGTGACATAAGTACCTTTTACATTGATATAAGGTTAATTTTAAACTAGTTATTACAGATATAAGATAGGTATAATTAATCTGGGATTTTTTTTAACAAATGTAGACGAAACTGGTTAAGTTTAAGAGAGAAAACATCCTTGGGATCATTAATAAACCACGTATTTAATGCGTTACACAGACGAGGAACTGGTGAATGTTTTCCTAAAACAGTCCTGCGAAATGGCGGATAAAATAGAGAAACGGGTTTCCTTGGAGCCCTGAGCGGGATCCTCAAATTAAAAAGGTTTAGGAGCTGAGGGCAGTCGATTTGATTATTAAAAATTTTATAAGTGAATATTAGGTCCAAAAGGGTCCTTCTTTTATTCAACGAGGACATTTTAAAGTGTTTGAGGTTTTCATGATAGGATAACTTTTTCTTTGAAACTTTGGAGATGTGAGATAAATGCCATAAAAAGCGTTTTTGGACCCGTTCTATTCTTAATATGTGCGTGGCATAGTGTGGCCTCCATACAACAGGGCAGTATTCAAGAAGACTGCGCACTAGTGCTTTGTACAAAGTGATACGTGTCTGTAAGTTTTTGAACACTTTACTGTTTCTAATAATAAAACCCAGCATATTAGATGAGCGCCTAACAATGCTTTCAATATGTGGTACGAAAGTTAATTTGTTATCTAGAATTATTCCCAGATCCTTAATTCTATCAACTTCTTTTAATGGTTTACCATCAATATAATATTTGGATTTAGTTTTACTATGTTTGCGTGTAAATTTAATAAAAAAGCATTTATCTATATTTAATTCCATCCCATTTGTACAGCACCAATTGTATAACCTATTTAAATCATGTTGTAACATAAGAACATCAGCTTGGGACTTAATAGTTCTGGCAATTTTCAAATCATCTGCGAATAGATAGGGCGTTGAATAAAGGAAACTATTGGGCATATCGTTGATATATACGTTAAAAAGAATTGGCCCTAAATGGGATCCTTGAGGAATTCCTGAGGTTATCTTGTGAACTTCAGACTTATAGCCTTTAGCAACAACGAAGAAACGTCTATTCGTTAGATATGAATTAATCCAGTTGGAAAAAATTCCTGTAAAGCCTCTGTACACACACACTGTAACTATACACACTGTAAAAGTCTGTGTACACAACGTCTACTTCCTCCTGTTTATCTAGAGCTTCAGCAATTCCTTCGACAAATGTGACTAAGTTTGTGCAAGTGGATTTCGATTTTAAAAAACCATGCTGATGTACGCTGACGTATTGCTGAAAATGGCTTTGTATTGAGGGGCAAACAACAGATTCAAAAACTTTTGCCATTGTCGACAAAATTGAGATTGGTCGATAATTCGATACTAAGTTCTTGTCGCCAGATTTATGTATTGGAACTACTTTGGCTATCTTCCAAACGCTTGGAAAGGCACCTGTCAATAAGGAGTAATTAAAAATGTATTTTAAAGGTACAGCCAGTGTTATAGCACAGTTTTTGATAAAAATAGGTGGGATTTCATCTGGGCCTGCGCCTTTATTTGTATCGAGTGATTGTAGTTTTTTTAGTATTGACTTCCGAGATATCGAAATAGTCCCAAGACTGAAGCTATTTTGTGCTATATAGTTGAGATAAGTAGAAGTTGGACTGGCTACATTCTGAGTTCCTGAGTCTGTTATAGCGAATGATTTCGAAAATGATTCAAGAAATAGAAATAGAAATAGAAATAGAAATGTATTTATTTAACCAAAAAACATTACATAATTAAGCAATACACTGGTTTCTGCACTAAGCTCTAGGCTTGTATCGCAGGAACCAAGAACCTTGACTGACACCGTTTACACCGATGAATACATAGAACTCCGATTAAATTAAAATAAAGAGAAAAGAAAACATTTTTTTTTTGTATAAATTAATGCATGAAAGAAAGAAAAAAAAACAGCTAATTTACGTGTGCGCGTGCGTGTGCGTGTGTGTGTGTGTGTGTCTGTGTGTTTGTGTGTATGGGGGGGGGGGGTTGCGTGCTTGCGCGTGTGTGTGAGTGAGTGTAAGTCTACGCGTGTGCATGTATAGGGTCAACTATGAAAGGAAAGTAAGTTTTCCGTTTCCTGATAAGAAGCATGTAGCAACCAGGTTGTTATTTTGTGTTTGACTTTACTTGTGGACAAAGACCTCAAATCTGGGAAGAGATGGCAGAATTTGTTGTAAATGCTAGGCAGAAGAAATGGTGAGTGGCGTTTGATAAAGCTACTGTGTGGATTGGGAATCGGTACTCGAAAGATCCGACGTTGGCACAGGTTAAGATAATCCGGGGAATTTATTATTTTTCTGTGGGTTAGAATAACTGCCTTTAAAATGTAGATTTGGCGAACACGTAGCACCTTACATTCCTTGTACAGTTCGTCAGTTGGAAATCTAAAGTTTTTAGACAGCATTACTTTTAGTACTGCTCGCTGGGCCCTCTCGACTTCAAGCATTTTTGTTTTGATAGCTCCACCCCAAGCCAGCGTGCAGTAGTATAGTAGGGATTGGGTTAGTGCTTTGTAAACCATTTTCATTGTTTCTTTAGTAGCACAGCGTCGCAAAGCTTTCATTATGTAAATGGTTTTCCTAACACTACCCGACAAGCAGCTTCGATGGTTTTTAAATGATAGCTTATCATCAATGATCACTCCTAGATACCTGATGTTATCTGTGTTGCTGATTATATTACATCCGCAAGAGGGAACTTCAGATTCGCAAGTGTGAATTACTAAGTTTACCGGCGAAAATGGTTTTGATGCGAGAGTTTTGTGAAAGGCTATGAACTTAGTTTTTTTATAGTTTAGAGTTAGTAAATTGGAACTTAACCATTTATTCAACACTACCATGCCTTTTTGAGCCGTCTCTAGTACGCTGTCCCAAGTTAAATCGTTAAATATAATGGCTGTGTCGTCCGCATAGCATATGACGTCAGCTCTTTGTATGGGTAATTCTAGGACGTCGTTAATGTAAATACAGAATAGGATTGGACCAAGAATACTTCCTTGAGGAACTCCAATACTGATTTTTAATTGCTTACTTGTATGTGAGCCCACTCTTATACATTGACGCCGATTTAAGAGATAGCTACGGAACCAAGCCAACGCCACTCCTCTAATTCCTTTTGTTTCAAGCTTCCGCAGTAGTATAGGTACCGACACGGTGTCGAAGGCCCTAGCAAGATCTAGGAAGATACCTAAACAGCTGCGTTTATAGTCCAAATATCTAGACACAGCATCTGTCAGTAGGACTACCGCATCCTCCGTGGACTTACCCCTCCTGAAGCCAAATTGATTTACAGAGAGCAGATTATTATTTTCTATAAAGTTGGTGAGGCGCTTGCTTACAATTTTTTCCAGTAACTTGGAAAATATACTTAGCAAAGATATGGGCCTGTAATTGCTAGGACAGTTTTTATCCCCATCTTTGTGTATTGGAGTAACAACTGCTAATTTCCAACAATTAGGAAAAATGCCACATAACAAGCTAAGATTAAATATGTGGGTAAGTGGTTGCAGAACTGTGTTTTTTATGTGTTTAATTAACCTTGGGGTGCAGCCGTCGATACCTGGTGCAGTATCATTTTTTAGCTGGTCAATTAGGGTACCAACTTCATAAGGATCCGTTGGCTGCAGAAAAAGGGAGTCCTTGCAAAGCACTCTTGGTTTGTATTCTGCAGCTAACAGGTCTTCTTGGGTGTTTAATCTACTGAGCGTGTCATCAACCAGTTCTCTGCCAACTCTAGTAAAGTACTCGTTACAAGCGTTTAAAGAAGAATCTGGGTCTTTGTCTACTGACAACAATTCAGTAGCCTCGGTAGTGTTACGTGAGAGATTACATATATTTTTGAGCGTTTTCCACAATTTTTTTGGGTTATTTTTATTTTGCTGAATTTGGCTATTCTCGTATTCGGTCTTTAATTTTCGTTGTAGCGCGTAAAGGAAGTTTCTGTAACGTTTATAAGTTATTTGAATAAATGTATTGTAAGGGTTTCTCCTGGCTTTGAGATGGAGACTGTCACGGTGTTTTTGGCATCTCATTAAGCCTGGAGTTATCCATGGCTTTATAACTCGTTCTGATCGTTTGGGCACCACATAACTTGTGTTTTCGTTTATTGCCATTTCTAAGATTGAGTTAAAATTATCAGCTGCCTCGTTAGCGTCTTCCATATTCATTATCAATGACCAATCAGT